TTCCTGCTCCTCTGATGCTGCTTGGCCTGCTGTGTTCATCCAGCTCCACACCTTGTTATCTCAGATTCTCCAGCATCTGCAGTTCCTGCTATCATATAAATGAGTCTTTGTTCTTTAAAAGACTAATCATTTGACTAGCTTGACTTCAAGTGCTGTTCTGCTTATCAGAAATTAGTGAGGGAAAACTACTGCAATTTAGGCTCTAGTTATTTTGGGAACCATGAGCAGGATGCTCCCCTTCCTGTTGCGAGGTAAGTACTATCAATAAAGGTGGAAATATAAAGTGAGAATGAAAAATATCAGATCTGTGACATCAAGAAAAATTTTCCCAATCTCCTCCTCAAGACTTAAATAACTTCAGAATCTCATCATTCAACAGCGGCTACCCTTATCCATGCATTTACATCACATTAAACCCATGAAATAACACATTAAATATCCTATTTACATGCTCATTCCATATCTCAGATGGTGTAAATTTGAGATAAGAACAGCAGAGTGGGTACCTGACCAAGGCTGCCCATTGAATGTTTGAGCTAGCCATTGTGCAACCGCTTCTTCACAACAACATTCCTGCATGATTCCATGGCCAGCATCCTTGTCAACCTTTTGTTAGGTAAACCATCAGTCTCACCACAGCATCATGTCTATCCTCAAGCCAACTCAGACACCAGGACAGCCCTTGAACACACTGGAGCTCAGGGAAACCTATAGCTTGTTTCTGTCATGTCCCTTTTACGCAGGGACACACAGGCATGTTTGCACAGGATGCAGCTTATGGCTTTCTTTGATTTCTTAATGTTCACTTTCTTTGATGCTACCAGTTGCCGCTTGTTGGCTGCTATGTGCTTCTTATTGCTTTCTTAGCACACAGGGTCTTTAGTGCTGAGCTTCAGGCTGCCAGCCTCTGCGACTTGCATTGTTTTAAAGCACAGAAGGAGAGGTGGGCAGCATATAATGGAAAGGAGCACTGAGCAGTCAAGGGAATGGACAGGTCAGTCTGTGCTACATCAG